TTAAATTATTCTTTGTTGGCACTGACCCTCATTTACAAAATGCTCATATGGTCATCAAAGTCTGGAGCTATAGCATACGCAATATGCATAGCCTTTTGATGATGATCAAATTTGCATTTCTGAAGGACTCTGTGATCACACTAAGTTGCTTATGAGAGGATGACTTTCCCACCTGTTCTACAACAGTCCCTAAACTCTGGGTAGGATCAAAACTCAACCATCTTCTTGGGCTTCAACTTTATATTATCGTATTGCTTAGATGTCTGTTAAAGTCCAGTCCTAGCTTAGATCTGCTCTGTCTACCACTTAGATCCTCTCATCTCAGACTCAAGATACCTCTCTCAGGGCAGACTCATTCAGAAGCACTTCCTCCTTCTTTTTTTTTTTAAATTCACTCCAGTTGCTTGGCCCTCCTTGCTTACTTGAGATAGCTGGCAGATAATGGTATTCAAAGTTAAGTTGTTGGCTCCTGTGTGCTGAGGTGCCACCATGGAGTGAGACCCAGAGTCACCTACAGGTGACCTATTTTAGTGTTTGTTTAAAAAAAAACCTTTTCAGTAGTGTTATTTAATGTATTCATTTTAGCTTGGCTAGCTTGGGGCATCGAGTTGCTCTTATTTTCAAGTCATCATTAAGACAACATTTTTAAAACCATGAACCTGCAAAATAGAATTGCTCTCACTTTGACTCCAAAACTCCACAGCTGTGTACACAAACAGGTATTTGCATAGGTAAATTGAGTATTTGAGCTTGCAAACAGATAGGCACATTTCTATTGTGCATAAATATGAGTTCCTGCAAATGTAATGGATATGCATGCAACTGAAAATATAGGGGCTTTAGTGATAATAGAGGTCAGGATATCTGTGCTGCTGCATATTAACATCATGTATATTAAATCTTATAGGCAGCAGATGGTACTGGAGCTTGCATCTGTCAAATAATTTAATGGAACCTTGTCAACAGGGAAAAAAGAGTTTTTATTGATGGCAGCAAAAGGCAAAGGAGCATCTTAACTATCAGAGTAGGGACCACTAGAGTGTATGTTAACATTGCTGTTACAAATTAAGGAGTGAGAGTGTGGCCTAGTAGACAGAGCATTGGACTTGGACTCAGAGGACCTGGACTCTGTTCCCGGTGCTGCTACTGGGTCTAGTGGGTGGGCTTGAGAAAGTCAATTCACCTTTGCATGCCTCAGTTTCCCCCATTTGTAAAATGATGATGATACTGACCTCCTTTTGTAAAGTGCTTTGAGATCTACTGATGAAAAGCACCATGTACTAGGTGGTGGTGGTATTGTTATTTATTTATTTATTTATTTATTTGTCTTCAAAATAAGACTCTCTTGTCTTGCACAGATCTTCATTAAACTGATCTTTTAATGGTCTCCAACCTTTTAAGCTAGAACAGAGGTTCTCCAATTGTGATTGGTGGAGCACCTGGCTGCTCTTGGTGAGAGCTTCTCCTTCATATATCCAGCAACTAAGTTTTATATTAAAACTGAAAGTGCATAGTGCTTCCCAATATCGCTTGCTGGAATTGCCATATAGGCGTTCTGCAATAGGAAAGGAGGTGTCTACAAGACTCTGTGGACCGTGTTTCAGTACACTAAGAAAAAATTGAGAGCTCCTGAGCTAGAAGTTGGCCCCAGTAGCACCTTTGCCCAAACCACATAGAATATCACAAAAAAACAAATATTTTCATGCATGCTTTTAAACTTCCTAACTTAAAGTCATGAACAAGCTTTTTTCGTACACGTCTATTCTTCACTGAGGACTGTAAAAGAAACCAAGCTTGATATTTCTGCCTAAGGTCCTGCCCCCAACCTTTCTTATTCATCACCCATCTGCATTCAAGACAGGCTGTTTTTCCTTTCGCTTGCATGCTGCCTGAGTGCTAGCAGCAGGATAAATGAGAGCTCAGGAGAGAGAGTTTTCCTGCTCCCAGCTCCTGTACCCAGCACCAAGGTGTAATCCCTGGCAGCCAGTAGGACCAGTTGCAGGGGAAGTCCTGCTTAGCCCCGTAGCCTTGAGGTGGAGCTGTGACGTTGCAGTCTATATGGTTTTATAAAAATATGATAAGTGAATATAATGTAACTGGGATATGCTTCATGCAAAAGGTCTCTTGTAAGGTATCATTACAAAGCTTATAATCTACTGAGTGTGATCATCCTATTTGTATAAATGTACGACTCTTGTATCTAAAACTAGAAATACAAAATATAACTCTGAGTGCCTATTGTAATTATGCAGAGTGTGGGCCATTAATGGTGGTTTGGAATCTTGATGACTCCCATTAACCAGGACCATTGTCTGCAGATGGCTGTGTTTTACGTGTGACTCTTCCTGTATATATGTGTGCTGGCAAGCTGGTAATGAAGTCTTGCAGTGACATGTGATCATGTCACCTGAACTGGAATCCATCTTTAACCTGGTGCTTTTCCAGTGGGGGTGGGGGGTGGAAACCCAGAGGCACCAACGGTTCCCGCCTTATGTGAAAGATATATAAAGGAGTGGAACAGAACAGAGGGGAGAGAAGAGCCATCATGAAGAATCCCCTAGCTACCACCTAAGCTGGAACAAGAGCTGTACTGGAGAAAGAATTGTGCCCAGGCCTGGAAGGTGTCCAGTCTGAGGAAAAAACTTACCGAAACATCTCTGAGGGTGAGATTATCTGTATTCAGTTTGATTAGACATAGATTTGCACATTTTATTTTATTTTGCTTGGTGACTTACTTTGTTCTGTCTGTTACTACTTGGAACCACTTAAATCCTACTTTCTGTATTTAATAAAATCACTTTTACTTATTAATTAACTCAGAGTATGTATTAATACCTGGGGGAGCAAACAACTGTGCATATTTTTCTATCAGTGTTATAGAGGGTGAACAATTTGAGTTTACCCTGTATAAGCTTTATGCAGGGTAAAACGGATTTATTTGGATTTAGACCCCATTGGGAGTTGGGCATCTGAGTGCTAAAGACAAGCACACTTCTGTGAGCTGTTTTCAGGTAAACCTGCAGCTTTGGGGCAAGTAATTCAGACCCTGGGTCTGTGTCGGAGCAGACGGGAGTGTCTGGCTCAGCAAGACAGGGTGCTGGAGTCCTGAACTGGCAGGGAAAACAGGAATAGAAGTAGTCTTGGCACGTTGGGTGACAACTCCCAAGGGGATTTCTGTGATCCAACCTGTCACAGGAGCATTCTTAGTTAGTTGGTGGAGGTAGTGCATGTACAGTCCAGTTGGCACATAAGATCTGTGAGAGGAGGGAGAATGTTCAGTTCTGAGGGACTCTTCAATGAATTTAGTGGCTGAACTCTTTTAAATCTATTCCGAGCACATGTGAACTGAGATTTTTCAGACGCTTATAACTTTGCCAAGTTTAAGCAAATTTTCATAGGGAAAGCACAAGGCACAGCCCTGGCACCAAGACAAACTCCCTGCCAATTTGCAGGCCCCTGTTCCAAAGCATTAGTTTCTGAACGAAACAGCTGTGGGTTTTTTTAAATATATGCAAAACAATGTATTTTTTCCCCTAACCTTATTCTGAGAAACGGCTGAAGCATTCAGCTGATGCTTCCCCAAAAATTGAGCCTAGGGCAGACACTTGACATGGAAAATTACAGCCCAGATGGTTAGTTTGAAGTTATAACTGGAAAAAGAGAATAATCAAACATGTTAGGCAAACTTAACTATAGGCTTTGCTACCTGCGCTACCTATAATATGACAATTCTCTCTCAATAGATATATCTCCTTTCATTAAGGAGAGGTCAGAGGAAAGTGGAAATACATAGTGTGGCATGTGAATTCATAAAGTCGCTGTATGAGGCTATGATATCCTAGGTGTACCTATGTTATGAGGCTGTGTGTGTCAATCACTTCTTCATTACTTGCAGGCTACCTGTCAGAATGTGCAATGGCAACATTGTAAAAAAGGTCTAACAAGCTGATGCTTTCAGAATTAAAACACCCACACTGTTTTCCCTGTTCAAGGCCTGCTTAAAGCACTACTACTAGCTCTTCTATTCCCTCTGACAAACAAATAATGAAAGACAAAAGCAAACAATTTAAGCACTCTGGGTCAAATTGTGGGTTACTGGGCTGAGCAGCTTTGAAGTAGAGAGAGTAAACAAAGTCAAAACAGCAGAAATTGGAGGCTCACTTTTGCCATTCATTGACATACAGTCTGAAAAATATTGAGTGTCCAGCAGACAAGTGGTTGGCACCTAAAGGGAAGTTTCATGCTATATCTGGATCATACTGCTCAAAAACTGCAGGGTGAATATCCTGGAGAAACACCATAAAGCGATACTGGTTCCTTCTGCATTAAGCTCTGCTGTGGTGTCTCCAAGGAAGACCGTAGTGTCAGACGTGACCAGTACACCTGGGAAATGTATTCATCTCACACGTCCCCCGAAAATGTCTCTAGTTTGGTCAGAACAGCAGCCTGTGCTAGTATCAGCGAGCAGGGATGTAAAAGGTGACAGAAAGAGGGACAGGTTCTGGCAATGCAACGTGGCTACAGCTTCCCCTTCTGGGGAGGTGAAAGGGCTCAGCGCTGTTCAAAAAGCAGGTAGAATTAGCCAGTCAGCAGCTTGGAATTTCCTAATGGAGAAAAGGATGTAACAGCTGCCAGTGAAATATCAGCGGAGAGCAGGAGCACAAACACCATCTCCCCCGCATGGGGTGATCACACACACGCACGCTAGGGCACAATGATGGCTCTAGCTGTGTAGGTTATAGACCCCCATTTTGACTGGTGTAAAAGGGTGTGTTCAAAACCTCCCTGCACTAGCTTGGCTGAATTTGGCTCCTTGGTTTTTTGACTTCAACTTTAATGTATTCGTGTTAGCTTTTGTACTTAATCCAGCCATCTATCTCACACAAGCGAGCAGGTATTTGTATATGTAATTCTTACCAGAACACTTGCACTCTCTTCCTTTGTGACTTCAGAGGTTCTCTAAGCTGATTTGCTTCCCACTGTTTTTCTCCTTTCATTAGAACATCGTGGCAGTGGGAGCTGGGTTTTGTGATGGCCTTCACTGTGGTGATAATACCAAAGCTGCTGTTATTCGACTTGGCCTAATGGAGATGATTGCATTTGCAAAAATCTTTTGCAAGGGACAGGTGTCTATTGCCACTTTCCTGGAGAGTTGTGGAGTCGCTGATCTGATCACAACGTGTTATGGTGGCCGCAATCGAAGGGTGGCTGAAGCATTTGTTAAAACTGGGAAGGTATTGTACCAAGGCCTGTCTTCCTCTCCGTGTGATGGCTAGCATTGCAGAAGTCTATGTCATAGGAGCACTAGGTTTAGTGCTGACTTGTTAATATAATACTGTAGTTATACTAGTCACATTGTAATCCATTAACATAGTCTTGTCTCTCCTTTTGTCCTTTAGTATGTTACCATAGAGACAATGTTGCAAAGCTAGAATGAATGAGGCAGTTCCAAAGAGAAGGAGAACTGGAGGTAGGGAGTAGGGGAAAGAGGAAGTTTACACACAAGCATGTAGGTAAATACTGTTATGAAAACCGTAGGCTGCTTTTGGAGGAAGTGTTAGGATCCTGCAATAACACTAGCCAGCTTCTCCCATCAAGTCTTCACGCATCTTAACACTCATGTTGAGTGACTGTTCATTTAAGATTTCAGTTCTACCACCGTCAGCTGGGCAAACTTTGGGAGCTGTCTCCCCATGCTGAAGCAGTGGGGTCATGCAGCAGAGGAGAAGACCCTTATCAGGGTTTAATAACCTTCTTATTCTTCATAATATTCTTCAAAATGGTTTCTTAGGTTGGTAAAAAACCTTGTTATAATTAACCTATTTTTTTAATTATTATTATTTTTTTTAAATACTATTAAGTCCATTGAAGAACTGGAGCAAGAAATGCTAAATGGTCAGAAATTGCAGGGACCACAGACTTCGGCAGAAGTATATCGTATCCTGAAGCAGAAAGGAATGGTGGATAAGTAAGTAAGAGGATATGGAGCATTTCTTTTGTTTTGTTTTCCCCTCCATTTTTTAACGCTTAGCTTTTTGATCATGATGACTGTTTCCTGAACATAAAAGCAAAAAGGTAAAATGCTGACAAAGTGACTTAAACCCCAACAAAATGCATACATTTTAAAACAGCTAGATTAACGTGACTTTAATATCTATACTAGACCTAATGGAGTGGGAGCCTATATTTAAACACTGAATGCTATGCAATTTAATCCTCCATTTACTCAGAGATATCTTGGTGATCCCTTTTGCTCTAGGCAGGAATAAGGTAATGTAGGAGAGATGAGGTACCCTCGGTTTTAACTTGGAATGTCCTAATCATATGGTTGTGCACCCATGGAAATTCCCATGCAGATAGAAATTCTACTTCCTTACTGCACAGATCTCAGGGATGCCCCTTGCCTCAGCTCTGCTGCCTTTTCCTACTGGCTCTTGTCTACCTCTGAACAGCATGACTCTTGCAGGAGCCTTGTTTCCATTCCCTTCCCCTCCCATCGGCTTCCCCTGGATTGTCCTCCTTATACACACTCCAGAGTTGGGTTATGCAATGCGGACCAGAAAGCAGCATAACTTAATAGAGCCAAAAGCAGTGGTTGGTTGGGTTGTTGTTTTTTGTTTGTTTTTTGTTTGTTTTTTTTTGGGGGGGGAGTTCCAGGGGGGAGTTGAAGTTCCCATGAATGGGCTTCCATGGAGTCAGAAGTTGGTGGAAGACTATGCCACGGAGGCAGAATGTGGATGGCAGCATCGGGCCATGAGTGCAAGTATCTGAGGGGATATGGCCTAGGAAGCATAGTGGCATGTTTGATTTGTCTTTGCCTAGTTTTGACTTTCTTTTACTTTTTTCCCAGAATAATCTTGAGTTTCTCATAAGGGAAGTATTTCGTTTTTTGACAAATTTTGTAGCCATTCCAGATGACTTGCCTAGAATAATTGTCCTGGTGACTATTGTTCTATTAATTGCTGCTGGTTATAATTCAGAAATTAAGATTTGTGGCTACTAACAGAGTAAAAATAAAGACAAAATTAGTATCTTTTTGAAATTGGCAGGGCGGGATGGGTGGGAGGGATACTTCTGAACTCAGGGCCTGATCCTGTGAGGTGCTCCGCATCTTTCATGGTCTTGCTAAGTGCCCTCACCTCGCACCAACTTCACTAGGAGTTGATGGTGTTCAGCACCTTGCAGGGTCGGGCCATGAGAAAAAAGCTGCATCGGTTTAACAATGCTTGGTCCAGGTTATAGTCTCTGGAATGTACTGTAGGTATATCCTGTTGACCCTAGTCAATCAACCATGCTATGTTTCTGCATCGGCTGTTTGGCCATTGATTTGTACAGCTTAATAGCGCTTATTCCAAATCACTTAGATGAAACTGCATACAAAAATTGTAAGATATGTCTAAAGGATGGCAGCTCAGTGCTTATACACCTTGACAAATCAAAAAGGAAAATACAGCATCTAGTATATTGGATTTTGGTGTTTGCTAGCCGACAGAGGAACTGAAAACTTCTGAGGCAAAATTCCACCATTTAATCCATATTCACAACTACCCCAATAGCCTGCCTGCAAAACTGGTTGGTGTACTTCTGGAGCAATGTTAGGGACTCAGTTTCAGGTTCTTTTCAGTATGTGATGCATTAGTTCTCACTGGTAAGTTATTGGAATGCAATGAAGAGTGAACTCCCTGATGCAAAAGGGAAATATCTTATCTGCATAAGATTATAACTCTCACAGCAAAACTAATAAACAAGGGAATTGTTTGTCAAGCCTGATGTATCTTCTTGTTAGTTTCATATATAACTTAAACATATAAACAGGCATTTACTTAAGGTCTATGTTAACTCACAATATTGCAGAACTGTAAATAAACAATAAACTAAAATATAAAGCTGAGCTTCTTAATAAACCCTGTAAACAGAGAGACGACCCAGTAGCTTTCTTGCTGGTAAAATGTGTTGCTTCTCTCCAAGGAAAGGGATCCTTGTTATTAAAATTCTGTTTAACTGACCAGCTGTATGTAGTGGCTGCTTTCATCTCATAGAAGGGTCAGAAGCATGGATGTTAGCTTTGATATTGTGGTTCTTTCCTTTGTAACACCTAGTTTGTGGTAAACTAGAATCCTGTAACTTAGTATTTCCTGATACAAAACAAAGCAGGTTATCCTGATGGCATTTATTCAAGAGATTCTGCATGTGCCTGATTCCTAAAGCCATATGTGGTCTGTGTTTAGTAAAACTTGGAATGTGTTTTCTTCATCTCTTCCTTTTTTGGATGAGGCAAAATCACAAAAATGAACAGTTTCATTTGTTGATTGGCAGTCCCTTCTAAAAATTATTTTTGGCAGTTTTTAAAGTACAATTTTTTTCATGCACCATCCGCTTTTCAATGTTTTAGTACTTGCTCTAAAAATAAGTCCTATCTCTGCAATATATGCACAATTAAGCTGGTTGGGGGAAGAAAGCTGTTTAGAACAATTGCTTTCAATACTTACTATTTGTAATGCTCTCTTAGACGTCTTCAGATAACTTTTTATTTTTTTATTTTTCTGCTTTTCCATTTGGCAAGCACAGAGCTGAACGCAGCAGTTTTTTTTAATCTAGATGACCCGAAGTAGGCTATTGTTTACTTCTCTGCTTTTGTCCTTATCCTAAAGTGTAATTTTAAAAAATCATGCAAATTTTGGCTGGATGCATTCTTGGACACCCTGTGTGTAAAATAGTCAGTATTTTTGGATTGTGTCAGTTAGTGAAGTTATTTCCAGCTTGCTACTACACAGACCCCCTTCTCATTCCCACGATTGCACCTATTGGATGCTGAATGATCCTTTTTTAAGGGCATTGGCTTTTTAATCTAGCCTTCAAACATTTGCTTAAAAACTGTGTAGTACACTCTGTTGCTTTTAATATTTTAAAACGTAGGGTTGAAAGGCTAGTAAGGGTAGAATTTAGGCCCCAATCCTGCAAACTTCTGTGCAGATGCATAGATCTTTATGTCATATGGAGGCACGTAGAAGTCAGTGATACTCAACAGAGTTGCACTTAGCAGAATCAGCATGTATATTTACCGTGTAAGTTGGCTATAAAACTCTTTATCTGAAAGGTAGTTGCAGAACTAACCCCTTTAATGTTCCCAGATGCACATTTCATATGTAGTATACATGCTGTTCCTGCCTGTAGTATTGTCGTCACCATTAGCTTAAGCATTGTCATTTTTTCACTAAAGTGCTTCTGAATTGTGCTCACAGAAATATTCTCTGTGATGGAGAGCAATAAGTTGGTATTAAAATGTTGTTTGAAACAATGGTCCCATCTTAAATCAAGTAACTTCTCTGAACATCCTGATAACTAGCAATGCAATACCTGTGCCCATTTGAAGCATACTTTTGCTTCATGCAAATACAATATGTCTTGTTCCCGTCTCTAGTAATGGTCACACATAAAAGGACATTGTGAGGTCAATTTTAGGCTTAAAATATAAGATTTTATATTTAAAAACAAAAATCCCCTAAGGCCAACAGAAATTTTGTTTTTTTAATTCCTACAAAAAGTTTTGCATTGATTTTAAATGTTGCGTTTTGGTGCTTGCAGCTTAAACACTGCAGCCTTTGTTTGAGATCTAGAAAGTGAAATTGACTAGGTCTGTTTTCATTGTCCACACTGAATATAAAAATAAATACATTTAGATTTTTAAAAATTCTTTGTTTTAATAGTCTTTTAATGTCAGTGAAACACACATGGAAGCTTTATTTTTGAAAATATGGCCAACTTAAAAATAAATTAAATAAAAAGTCAGCCTCCTATTTATTTTAAGGATCCTAAAACCCATACTTAACTTTACAATCTTACAATTGAAAATTTTGGTCCATGATTTTTATCTGATGGGATCTCTTAAAAATGGTGATAGCCTAATTTTTTTTATTTATTTTTTACATTTGATCATTATTCAGAAAGGTTGATGATCTTTTCTGTTTGTAGCTGAGCATGTGATAAGATGATTGCAAAAAAGATAGTGGCAAGCATTTGTTTTAATTTGTGAAATAAGTGAACTGCCAAGGTATGCATAACAATGTTGCAGGATCCAGTATGGTTTGATAATGATCAGGCTTTTGAGGGCCTGACGTATTTCAGAAATGTATGTAGGTATTGTATATATTCTGCACTCATCACCATAGCATGAGTGCCTTGTAAATTCTAAAAGAAACACAGATTCTCAGGTGCTCTCTTCTCTACCTAACAAGACATTATAGAGTAATTTGATGTTGCTTTTTACTTTTTTCTTTGTTCTTTTCTTTGCTAGGTTTCCACTCTTCACTGCCGTATATCAAATCTGCTATGAAGGGAAACCTGTCCAAGAGATGATATCCTGTCTTCAGAGTCATCCAGAGCATATGTAAAATGAATTGTGCAATTATACTAATACAGCTTCCGCCTTTCAAATTCATATTTGGATTCAAGTGGATGTAAACATTAGGCAACCATATGAATGTATATGAATTTCTGTCGTTTTTTTGACACAATTTAAAATTGTAATGTAGTGTCGGATTGGTGGCTGTCATTTTACTGGCTAAAAAGCAGATGTTTTAAGATCTACAGTGAAAAACTTGCACTTATATATATATATATATATATATATATATATATATAT